CTAACTATCCAGGTAAACGGCTAATTTAATCACTTTCATAATCTAATTTAGTTGGAAAATGATTAATTTGATTGGTAATATTTAAATAAAGATAATCAAATTGGTTATATTAATAGATAACAATTTAATTACAATGTAATAATCATACAAATCAACATAAACGATTACATGTTTCATAATCAAACCCAATTGGTGATCAATAGCAAATCAGTTTAAAAATCAATCCATTGACTGAACACAAGTGAATTAATTTAATTATTATGATGCTCATTATGTTTCAATTGTATTCCAACAATCAAATAACACTAATCAACTTCCTGTTGATTCCGTTGCACTATTGTGTCTGATTGTTTATTGTTAATTCTGATCAGACGATCCCTTTACCATGAAGATGATGATGATGATCAGAATTTAATTGACCATCAATTGAACAATTTTGATTTGTTTCTCTTTCTAATTTCATTTCAATTGAAATTTCATTTCTTTTGATTGAACATCGAGATGATAATCATGCTGAGTGCGTAGGTGTCTTCATTTCCTGCAAGAAGAGTAGAAAAAAAAGAAAGAAAGAAAGAAAGAAAAAAGATGAAAATAAGAAGAAAAATCTTATCCAACCATTTATCTTATTACTCAGACTCAGAATCTGAATCAGAATCAGAATCAGTATCAATAAGAATAAAATAAAAACCAAAGAGGGCAAGAAAATCTCTATGCGTAATTCTGGTTCATCAGAATGGTAAGAAATTATTATTATTATTATTACCACCATTGCAATTAACTATTATCATCATTTTAGGATGAAAGGAAAGATATAAGTTACAGATAACATGATGATCATGATTAAGGTAAAAAATTAAATTATTTTGTGGCTTGAAATCAAATCTCATTGATTAGATAATTTTTCAGATATCTCTCTCTCTCTCTCTCTCTCTCTTATTTACCTGAGCTGGGCCCAAAAACTAAAGCCCATTTAATTGATAATAAAGTTTGAAAATGTCCCTTTACAATAATAATATCATTTTCTTTAGTTTTTTTATTTAATGGTTCATAAAGGTTCTGGTGTAATAATAATATTAAGCTTGAATTTTACCCTGAGGGTGTGTTAACTTTAGCAATGTCACCTTTACACAAGGTTTGCCTCATCTTTGAACATTAACTTTGTGTTTGAAACGTTTTTTTCTGCTTGAAACTTGATTAAGCCAATAAAGATATCTAACCAAAGATCCATTAATAATAATAATGATTATGGTTATTGTTTAATGCTACTAATTATAGATTAAATTATTTATCGCATTTAACTAACTAATCATCATCATCAGTCAACAGGAGTTGCAAAGGTTTAAATACATTATCAAGAGTAATTGCTTATAATGAACAGCATCATCTTCATCATCTTCATCATCTTTTTACTCATCACTATATAAAAAAACGTAAATATTATAAGAATGATAATGTTTTGTTTCTCAATCACTTTGAATCGGTTCAGTTTCATGTTATTGTTTCATCAGGTATTAGATTATCTTCCTGCTAATATCAATGTCATGTACGTTGTCATCTTCTGTTGAATATTGGTAAATGAAAATCTCTTTGCTCATGGTGATGATAATGATGAAGATGAAGATGAAGGTGCTCATTATTTTGTAGGTTGTATTTGTCTCTCTCTCTCTCTTCATTGGGGTGTGGGTGATGATGAAAAGCATAGAGAAAATGAATTTGCGTTGGATTGGCAATATAATAGTTGAAAATGAAAATGACATGGAAATGAAAGAGATGAAATGTAAATGGGAAAAAGTTGCTTGTTGATAATATTGTAAAGAGACAGAACAAAAAGTTAACATAACCACCATTTGCTTTCTACAAGAACAAGCCACAGGTCCCTTGATACATCAGATTCTGTCAACTTTTTCTTTGCATTCTAATATTTTTCCATCTTCATCTTTGCTACCTCAACATTTGAAGTAAACAGAATCATATTATAACCGAGCAATGAACTGAAATATGATAACACTGGTGGAAAAAGAGAAGTGAAAAAAAGGGCAACAAAATGAGAAACAAGACAATCCGAATGGTGTTCATTTGATGTTTCAAGTGGAAAACCAGTAACTGATATAAACTGACAAGCTACTGAAAAGATCAGCATTTGATAAGCATTAAATTGAAGACCTTTGAAAAATCAGTTCTCATAATATTTGTACAGTGTGTTATGAAAAGGACTTTAACACTTTGAGAAGCTATCGTGCGGTAGGGGTTTGTGCATTTTCCAATTTTTTTTCTGCAAAATACTGTGAAAGGTTGTAGAAATAATATATGATAAAGAAAATTCAATACGAAAAACGGGTGTCTCACAGTATCAACTCCAAGTTCAATCTTTTACGCAGTGAATTCGTCTCCCATTGAAACGCATTGAAGAGCTAAGTCTTTTGCTCTTTGTGATAGAAATTTTTTAGTACTGAATGACTATCTAGGGTTTCTTCTGAAGTATTGAAACACTTTTATTTCGACGATATATTCATTTACTGAGAATTGACACTGATTTTATTGAGTCCGAAATACCCAATTTTTACTAGAAGTGAAATTTTTCAAGAACTAATGTGAACTTGTCAACAACTAACCCGGCGTTGCAAGGACCGACTAATGAAAAGTACTCAACAAAAAATTCAGTCCAAAATAATACGTTCTTCTTAGAAAAATTTTCATTTGAATTGATAGTTTCAAATTTTGTTTGTACGTGGATTTTCTCAATGTAAAATGCGATAAAATTGAAATGACCTCAGGTATATCTAAGTTGGTTTATTGTCGACAAAAATTCACTAACAAAAAATTTCTAGAATCGCTCATGATGCTGTGAAATTAAATCAAACAGTTAAAGTGCATTTCATAACACACTGTATATAAGTAAATATCTACATGAATATATGAGTTTGAGTATGGAAACAACAAAAAGAGTCAAATATTATTATTATTCATATGAAAAAAAGATGGTTGAGTTTTTTGGCTAAACTTATTTAGACTTTATTTCTGTGTAAGTTTCAAGCATCATGATAATCATAATCATGGTAATAATAATGCTAATAATGATATATATAAATAAATATGAATTTGTAGAGATGAGACTTGATGAGTAGTGGATTGGTTGGCATGAAGAGAAACTGTTATAATATGATGAAGATAATGATGAAAAGTATAATGAAAATGATAACATCATCATCATAGAATTTTTTTTCAAAAGTAAGAAAGAGAGAGAGAGAGAATTCCTATTAAATTTACTTGGTTAATCCAATTTAAGTCAATCAAAGTTTCAGAGTTGATGCGATTCCTGAGGAGTGAGTTGTAAGTGAGATGTAGAGTGAGAACAGGATATAACACTGATGGATGGAAGCTCTATCCTTCCGCATCTTCTTTTACTTTTCTCTCTCTCTCTCTCTCTCTCTCTCTCTCTCTCTCTCTCTCTCTCTCTCTCTCTCTCTCTCTCTCTCTCTCTCTCTCTCTCTCTCTCTCTTCGTCTGCTTATCCTTCTTGCTTCACAAATTTTCAGGAATTGTAATATTAAGATGATTTTCCATGAACATCGATTCAACTTTCATCTTAAGTACGAAGTCTAAGAAAAAAAAAGTGAACATTAACACTCGTTCAATATTCATTTACATGCAAGTTGATTAAAAAAGTTCCCAAAAGGATTAGTAACTCTAATGAATTGACGATAATCATTAATTTGATTACTTTTATTAGTAAAGTGCTTCAGTACTTTTGATTATAATTCAAATAAGAAGATTGAAAATTGTTTGTATCATTATTATTATATTGAGATTAGTGTTGATTATATTTATCTATTTGTCGTAATAACTTATTGTAATATTATTGACGATCCATCCGATGGATAATATTGTTATTAACACAGAGATTATAAATCGCCAATTGATACGATTGATACTCTTTCCCTTTTCATGATTGAATATCATTTTCAACCATTTGTATCCAAATCCAAATATCAACTGATTAAGTTGCTCTTTCTTTTATTATTATCCAATTGTTGTTATATTACAATAGGAAAATTGATACTTTTTTCACTTGATTATAATAACATTATTATTATTGTGTTGATGATCAGGGCTCACGTTTTATATCATCTTAAGTGAATCATTATCGGTATTAGTTGGACCCATTAATAGATATATGAAGATATCAGTGTTTCCATTAAGTGAGTACTCAACGGAAAAAGAGTGAAGATTAATTCTGATAATCTTTCAGCTTTTATCTTTCACACGAATAATTTAATTCACTATTCCACAATTTAATTGCAATTGAACTTCTATCGCCATCTGATGGATATTTTGATCTTTCAATCAATTCAATTCCAAGATGAATATTAATCATTGATAATCAATCAATTCATTTTCACCTTTTTCATAACTTCTATTGGAAATCAATTGATCAGTTGATCTAATTGTCGTTTCTAAACAATTTAAATCTTATCCATTTGATTGCGATAAATTTTGTTTGTTTAATCAGTTTTTTTGCTTCCAGTAAATTGTAAACTTTTTTTTTGTTTTTCTCTTTTCTTTCAATCTGATTAAACAATCGTTTTAATTGTGGCACTTTGATTGACTAACTAGATAGAGTTTTGGTTTTTCTTTTCGTAACCAATTCAATCATTTACTTTATTAATCATCTCTTGTATCTTGTTACCTAATTGATAACGAACAGGAAAATTGGTTCATCTGTCTGGTTCATCTCTTAAATATGGGTTAAGATAATAAAACAAACCAAGATAATTGATTAAAGTGTCAACATTGAATCAATAACAATTGAAACCAAATGATTACAATTAATTTTTCGTGCATCAAGTGTCGCCATCTAGTGAGGCGAAATCAAACTTTTCGATTTTGACAAATTTATTGATTGAGTTTCGCAACTATTATTATGAGAAACTTACAATTAATTAACTATTGAAGTTACAGAATTTAATTTGATTTAATTTATTTTATTTTCAAATTTGTAAAGTGTTTGTGTGTGTGTGTTTAATATTAATACTAATTGATCACGTTTGTTATTTTCATTAGAAAACATCATTTATCTAATTTTATCATCAACAACTTTAAAAAGTGGTAAAAGTAATTAACTGGTTGATGATTTAATTGTAATTAGTAAAAAGTTGGAGAGAAAATGTTTTTTTCTTCTCTGAAAAAAAGTTGTTCTTTCAATTATTCGCAATAACATCGACTGTATTTTCCAGCGGGTGGATAATTGGCTCGATATTGAACTGGAGTAATTGGAACTGGACGATTAGAACTTTTAATCGATGCCGATTTGACTGATTGCTCAACGACGATTTGTGATCTGGATCCTTTAGTTTCTACTTGTTGTCTGATTGGTGCTGTTTTCGTTGGCTCATCTGACGTATATCGAGCTCTAAATTTTTCCGCTGGACTGTAAAGCGTTTTGGTGACATATTCCTCCTTTTGAACTGTTTTAACTGGTGCTGGTGTTGTCGTTGTTGTTGTTGTAGTAACTGGAATTGCGACAATTTTAGCTGATTTGATTGCAGCAATTCTGCCAGCGGGTGATAAAGGATAAGTGAATCGTGATGAAACCTTGGATGAATCTTCGGCTAATGAGAAAATGAGAAAGAATTGGATTTCAGTTACATGATTAAATTTCTTGTGAATTCTATCCTTTCAAAGTCTATTATCTCTCTTTTATAATCCATCACAAATTCTCATTCAATTTACCTGATGTTCTAAATTGTTGAGTTCGTGAGAAAAATAAAACCAAATAATCTATTGATTACAATAGAAGAAGATGATCTATCGATGATCGTAAATTGTTATTCAGTTCATAAATTCATTTCTCTCCCTGATTTTTAGATTCTCTCTCCATGTTATTAATATTATTTTTTTCCTCTTCTTATAACAAGGAACAGTCTACCATGATTCCAACATTATCTTGATAATTTTTTTCTTCTTCTCTTTTTCCAATCAATAATAATATCGTTCATTTTTATTCTCATTTATTTATTCTCATGAACATAATTTTCCTCGAATAAAATCAATTGTAATCAATGATGAGAGAGAGAGAGAAAATCACATATCAATAACATATAACAAAGCCTCGAGGTTTTTATCGAAATTCAATTCAAGTGAATTATTCCAAGGTGAGAACTCAGATCTCTTCAACTTCCTCTGTCTTTTTCAGTTCAAATTTCATGATGAATTTGATTCAGCAACATTTTCCAACTCATCATTTCAATCATAACTTTCACGAGTTGTACTCAATTGTTCAACGATAGATGTCACTAACCTGTGAACTACTTTTTCTGTTGATTAAATTATTTCAATTTTCAGATTGGTGACATTTAAACAATTTAAATTGATTGATGAGAAAGAACTTTATTTTTCATGAATAATATCAAATCTTTTCAACTTTTCATGAGACAATTGTGACATTTATAACCTTCCAAACTGAAGAGGTAACCTTGATTGTTGATCTGAATTGTAAAATATTAATATATGAAAATTAATCATTCATGGAAATTAAGAAAACAATGGAAACAATGAGTTGATTATTTCTCATTTTAATCTCTCTTTTTTTAAGCTCACCGCCAACGCCATTTTTTCACCTTCTAAACGTTGATTAACCTTAATCATTGATTATCATTAATGAGTAAACAGAATAGAGATATTAATTAAAGCGTTAAGCCCAAGATTAACCTTGGAGCTGTTCAATGAATCGATAAAAATAAAATCAATCATCAAAATTAATTTATCATAAATACTGACGAAAAGTGAAAACCGCAAATTTCAAATACTAACCATGTTAATCTTAATCTCAATCTTATCGAATGATAAATCTGATAAACATTACTACTAAACGATTAACTTTGATTGTTGATCTAAATCAAATTTGACCAGCAATTAGTCAATTATCTGAACAAGAGAAAAACTTTTGTCAAATTCAATTGATTGAATATTTCATGTTGATGATCAATAGAAGAAAGAAAATCATTAATCTAATATCATGGAACTCAATTGTCATTTATTTCTTCCTCTCTTTCTCTCTCATATATTATCATTATTTTTATTTCTAAACCTGAAAACAAACAGGTAGATAAAAATGACCACTGAAACTCATGAATTCTTATATATATTATAAAGAATGAGAATTTTTCTATCACCTTTTCTGTTCATGGGATTCTAATGGTTTGGTTTTATATTTTTTTGCCTCGATTCTATTATCATGATCATTTGGAAATCTATTTTTAAATTTTCACCATTATTACAAAATGGTCAATCTAAAAAAGACTGACCTTCTCTCTTTAGTAATGTTTATATACTTATGCTTTTTATCATCATTATCATCAATGAAAAAACAAAAGATTCTGGTAAAACCCATCATCATAATGACAATAATCAAGATGATTATGATGATAATAAACTACAGACAATTGTAATTGGTTAAAAGGTAAAGTTAATCTGATCCATTGTTAATCTTTAAATTGAATGATTCTATGAATGTTTCCATCTATTCATATCATCATTCATGATTCTGATGAATAAAACTTTTTCTTTTCTTCTTCTTCTTCTTCTTCTTCTGGTAAAAGTTCATTTTCGATTGTTCAGTTTGATTATATATCAGATTTTTTCTTCTTCTTCTTCTCAACTGATTAAACATTAGTTTTGAAGGATAATTTTTATCAATATTTGCAATTGAATTTCATCAACAAATATTATCGGCTTATCTATTAAATTGAATTGAATCTCTGGATCATTTTATCTCAATTTGGTTGAGAAAAACAAGTTGAATGAATATTTTAAATTATTCTGATTGAAACTTACCCTGGTAAGAGGCTTTAGATGGTTCCACTGATTTAGATACATACGATGATGATGATGATGATGATAACGATGATTCTGATGAATGAGGAGGTGAAGAGGTTGATACAGGTTGAGGTAGATCAGGTCCCCATGCTTGGAATCCATTACTTCCTGATGAATAATAAACTAATCTTAATTTACCATCAGGATCAGTGTAACCATAACGACCACGAACTAAGCCAGAATCATCTTTAGATTCTTGGTGAAATTGATGAGCACCAGATAGACCAGTATCATAGCCAAAGTTATAAGAACCTTTATCACTTTGAGATTGATATTGAATCGGATTATGAACATAATCATCACTTGAGACAATACCAAATAGGATCATCAATGAATAAATGGACAGAAACTTTTTCTTTACACATGAAGAAAGAATCAAAGTGATGGAGAAGAAAAAAAATCGAAAAAAGAAAACAAATCAGTAATAATGGTGAAGGTAAAGAGATGAAAAAAAAAACCATGAAAAGGATGAGGATGTTGAAAAGAGAATAGAGAAGAAAAAAAAATGATCGAGATAACAGAAATCAGAATAATTAGCAGTTAACATGTAAATTCAATTAACAAGTTCCACTGATGAGAACAACATTTCCTTCATACTTGATGGAACAAGAATTGTAGACAAAAAAATCAACAAGAACAGAATTAATTAAATAAATTATCTTTTGAAACATACCATTATCATCATGTCGAGTATTTTGGTTTCCTCGAAATTTTGTTCTTTTTTATTCTTCTTGTTCTCTCTCAATGATCAACGATAACTTTCACTTTACTTTTATCAGATTTTTCTTTCACTATTTATATAAGTATATTTATATTTACACTCGATACTTGGAACAATAAATAGAAGCGTTTTTGTTACTCACCAATTCGTTACGTTTAAATGAATAAACGATAAATGAAGTAGCACTCGAATATTTTATCAGTTTAATTGTTTGTTTTGTGGGCGATTCGTAACGAAGTAACGAAACGTCATTACGACGAAGGTAAGATGAGAAAGAGAACATTGAAAAAGGCCTTAGATTGAGTGTAGGCGAATAGTAGAAAAGGTGGTTTCTCCAATATATCATTGAATGGAATAGAGAGAGAAAGAGAAAGAGAGATGATGATAAAGGAAGAAGATGATGATGCTGATGATTAGAATCATGTTTATTTTTGTTTCTTCAAATTCATTAGACTGCAATGGATTTGATGACTTTTGGAACCTTGAAACTACCTTTTCAGAATTTTACTAACGCCTTTTGTGTACACAACTTACAACAGTTCCTTTCCTTTGTCATAGATTGATTTTCTAGATTTTTATTGATATTTCTTGATATCCAGAGGATAATTCATTTATCAACGGATCATTGAGTTCGCTTATTAAAACCATCCACGCACCATGGTCATCATCCCTTAATTTTATGGCGAAAGTTACATTGATTCCGCCTTAGGCGATTACTTTTCACAATTTTCCCTTGTTTTCCTTTACTATCTTTTCCCTGTTCGATGATTCATCTTATTATTATATCTGATATCTAATAATGTATGAGAACCTTGATGTTAGAAAGTTATTTGAGACAAAAGTTTATCATTACATAGTTTGATTGTGAAAGTTCATGAAAGATGATTTTTGATTAATATCATTAATGAACATCTAGTCAGAATTGATAACAAGATAATTGATGAGATTGAGATTGAGATGAAAAGAAGCAGAACAGAAAATTTTTCAAGTTATCTCATTGAATCAACTTTTTCTGTTTTTCTGTTTCCGTTTATCTCTCTCTCTCTCTCTCTCTCATTTTGACTGTTATTTTTTTATTCTCAACCTGAGACTTTTACTCTTCCATGATAATTGAATAAAGTCACTCATTGTTTATTGGTAGTAGTAGTGAAAGTACACAAAATGACACAGTCATTCACCCCATGTGACATATTATTTAATAGGTAATTTTTGACAGTTAAATTAAATCGATTGTTAGTATCATGTGACATATCATTTAAACGAGAATTGATTGGAGATTCAATTAAAGATATTTATTTTCTGATTTATTGATTTTTGACAGTTTAATTTCGAGACCAAAGTCTAACTAAGACATCATTATTACTTATTGATCTCAAATGATGGAAATTGATATAAATTGCTCTAATTGGCATACTAACTCTCATTAATCTTGGATAATCACTAACGAGTCCTGTCAAATTAATGAAAAAACGAATATATGGTACTGAATAATTAATCATTCGGCTCATCCTTGATATCCAAACAGATCTACTGTCATTTGATCGATTTCTATCCCTGCGGAGGAACTCACCTAACCTAACACACAAAATGACAGATCGACTATCACGAAGGTTTTCTTTCATTTCTCTAGCTAATTCGATGGCCTCTTCCAGAGTATTAATTGGTACAGCAACTGGAGCAGGACCTAAGGACAAAGATTGTTCCATCCTTGAAAAAACAATCTCGCAGCGTGTGAGTTAGCGTGTGGTGGACATCATCATCATCATCACTATCACTTTCACCATCTGAAGATTCTTCAGGATTTGTCCTCCGATTCATCTCCACAGAAGCAGTAGATTCAACAGGTTGAACTAAAGGGTTAACAACTGGGTCACGTCGATGACACCGCATTGTCTTGAACTGTCCGATCTTCCATGATTTGATCTTGAGCATTATCAGGATGTAAGGGTATAACAGCGATCGATGATTGGGTCAACGAAAGTCGTCTTTCTGCCATTGTTTCTATTCCAAAGCCCTGAATAGTCGATGACAGTTTTCAATGATGAATTGACGGGCAAAGTTTCTCCTTTCGAGCCACCATTAGTAAAAGTCTATACAAAATGATGCGATCAGCATAGCATAAGGGCTAAGGTTAACTCAGTCATTGTAAACTGGGGTAAAAAAAATTGACAGAGAAAGATGGAATAACGGTAAAGGGTAAAGAACGATATCAAAATTCAAACTTAAAGACTCCGCCCACCTGCGTTTTAGAGTGCGCATTGAATCTGCCAACATGTCAGTTTTTGTATTCGTTATATACCGGTACTGGTTTGGGTCAAAAATTTTTAAAAATATACATGACGTTTATATACATTGTCTCTGTAAAAAAATTACATAGAGAAGCACTTTTTTTCTAACTTTGTCAAAATCGTCATTTCTCATCCGATTTGACCGTGCTGTATATGTCCTGACTCAGTTTTTTACGAGGATTCCAAAAATATCCTCCGCGTAAATTTATCTCATTCCGTTCGAAAGATACAAAAATTGACTATTGAGCACAAAGTCAACTTTGTTATTGGTCCAATTGTGAAAAGAAGACTATCGTTGAATTCGTCTTAACGAGACGAGTTCAAAAATGTATAAGATATCCATGTAACTCTAACCGTTCAAAAAATAGCAAAATTGACTTTTGATCACTAAAAATCATTCATTTTATCATTGATTGTTACCAATAGATGGCAGCAGCTTCTACAGCTAGTATGTAAAATATTAATATAATATTAAATCCTTTATTCCTTGTCCGATTTGAAAACGGATTTCACCGTTCGATTTGTCTTTAAATGTCCATCATGAATATGTTCGATAACACTCTAGGACTGAAAATAACGAAGTTACCAATATGAATCAATTTTAAACTAATAAAACATTGTTTTATTTTTAACCCATGACTAGATGACAATGAGACCATAGTTTCATCTAGTTATGATCAACTTTTATGCGCTTTTCAAAATGTATAGCACATCCAAATCCGACTATTTTTGATGAAGAATCACGTGACCTTCTAAAACTTCAAAAATTTTAGACCCTAGACAATTTGTTGCGCGACTGTACAATAGCTCATCTTAACCAGCGTAAAATTCTACAAGAAAATATGTCTAAAGCTGTGCTTATGTCTTGTCTTCAATGTGTTATCAGCCGTTATTCTTTTACATTGTTATCAATTGATTTTTGCCCTTAATACTAGAATTGTTGGTGTTTTGTTGAAAAACACTGTGTCAACACAGTAAACACTTTATAGTCTATTGATATATGACAAAAAAAATTTTACGATAACACGACCTATTGTCCTCAATCTAATCAATTGTAGTTAAATAGCATTAAGCATTGAATCAATTGATTTTAAGGGTAATTTCAATTACTCATTGATGTTCATACATTCTCAACATAAGGAAAAGGATGTTGAAAAATGTCAAGTACCACAATGACCATTAGTATCAATAGTCAGTTAACATCAAGGAAAAACTACGAACAATTCAAGTTTGACAGCTTAAGGATATTCATGATTTATGATTGTTCAAAAGTTCAAACAGTCAAGGATTATTTGATCATTAATCAAATGGTACTTCACGATTTCAATTAATTTAGTTGAGTAAAGGTTGTATCTGTTTGTTTTCATTTATTGAAAATTTTCCTCAATCACAATCGTAGCTTTAACAATACAAACATTTTGAATTGTTTCCTCAAACGAAAGTATAAAAACAAAGCAAGAGAGATAGAAAATCATCAGTTCAGTTCCAGTCTTTCTACTATCAACATTAACGTCTTCTGGCCACTTCATCATCATCAATCTTCTGTTCTTCTTCTTTATTTCAATATTCTTTTCTTCTTTTATTCACCACTTGATTCTTTTCTTTTCATAGTCCTTTTGCTGGTACTTTTGGTCACTTTCTCAATCCTTTTTCTTCTTGGTTGATTCTCTTCTTCTATTCATCACTCAATTCTTGTCTTTTCATCGTCCTTTTGTTGGTACTCTTGGTCTTCTCAACCTTTGTCTAGATTATTTCTCGGAGATTTCTATTCACCACTTGATTCTTTTCTTTTCCACATCCTTCTCCGATACTCTTGGTCTTTATTTTTACCACATTTTCCTTGTTGACTCTTTTGAACATCAATACCAGTTCAAAACCGGCTATTCTTTTGATCAACTGGTCTTTTGGTCCAATAATCGCCATCAATCCATCAGTTATTCCAACTCCCTTTAACTCAATCCAATCTCCAGAGTTCACACTGATCTACGGATAAACCTTCGGACATCCATTTTAAGGTAAAAATGTACCAAGCAAAACAAATAGCCCCTCTTAAAATTCAAATTGTAAGAGAAAATAGTAATTCTGCTTCAACAGTTGACCTACCTGATGATGAGCCAATCAATCTGGCTGATTTTAGATTCAAAGTTGTTGACTTTTTCGCCATTTACATGCATTTCGATGCTGAATGGCAGAAAAAGCTTTTGAACACTATTACTTCAATTGATTATGAACGTTGGTTGTTCATAATCAATAATCGACAATTTTATAATTTTTGTCATGAATATGACCCTCTCTTTTACGATTATGTTGACATTTCGTTCACAAAATATTATTAATTAATAAACTTACAATTACTTTTTATTTACATTTGTCTATTTATCTTTTCTTTACTTCAGGTAAGATGAAAATAATTTCGGAAACGGTTTCTTCCACTCCTTTTATTTCGGGTTCGAGAATTCCATCAAAGGTTTCTTCATTTGAAAAAACACTTAAGTTGAATAAACTTGAGTCTCAAATGAAGCGTTACCTTTCGATTCCCAAAAATGATTGCTGTCCAACCGAAAACACTGGTTCTGTTTGTTTAGCTTCATCACTTGTTAAACTTTTGAAAAAGATACACAAAAGAATGGAGCTCAAAACAATTCATTGTAACCGATGCTCTAAAAACAAAATATTATCACTTGATGATAGTAGAAAAATTCATTGTAAAATTAACCAAGAAAAATATGTAAACCTTTGTATATTTGCCTCAACTTTCAAGTGCCCAAGGGTCAGTCAAGCTGAATCTTGGTTAATCAAGTGTCGATATTTGAGACACAAAATGAAGAAATGTGTTGATCATCGATTGTATACATTGAACCTGAAAAAAGAAATAGAATTGAAAAGAATTCTATTAAATAAAATTTTGTTATAACATTGATATTTTTTCTTTTTCATTTCAGGAAATAAAGGTAATGTTTTCACCAATATTTGAAGTTTGGGAGTGTCCTACCATGAAAGCTGCTCTTGAAAAATATCTTTTCATGAAACAGGAAAGAAATAGATATTTAACATGTCCATGGGCTCCGAGTAGATGGGTAACAGTTTTTCAAAATGGTTTCTTCATGAAGGAAGAATGTGTTCAATGTTTTGCATGTGGACTTGAGCTTGATCACTCTATTTTGAGAGAAGACATTGCATATATACACAAGTTTTTCAGTCCAGAATGTTCTTTCTTGAATGGAAAAGAACCAAACTTGAAACTGAAAAAAGTTGGTTGTGTGAATTTATATTCATCGAAACCAATTCTTGATTCCACCTCCAACAAGGACTTACCTCCCAAATTGAAGGTTTCGCGGGTTGTTAGGACTCAAGATGATTTGTTACAAATTTTCTCCGAAGACGAGTTTGTCATCAACCCTGAGAAAGTTTTTAACTTGTTCAAGATAAGGATGAACCGTGTTTTTTCTTTCAACAATGCTCCTCCTCCGGTAGCTCATAAAAACTATTTCGTTGAAAGTGGATTCTTCTGGACCGGTTTTGAAAGGGTTGTACAATGTGCCTTTTGCCGGATTGCAATTGATGGAAAATTACCTGGACATCCTATGGTGGCTCATAAGAAACTTTCACCTGAATGTCCTTTTATAGCAGAGTCGAGTTATGAGACGAATGAAAAGGATTCATGTTGTGTTTGTCTTGAAAAGGGACAAACAATGCTGTATTTACCTTGTGCTCATTTAGCAACATGTATTGATTGTGATGAAGTTTTGTTGAGAAACAAAAGTCCTTGTCCCATTTGTCGACAAACAATTACAAAGAGAATCAGTGTAATAAAACCTTAATTAATAAAATTTTATTTTTTCTTATATACATACTTTCAGATGGTTTCATCAATCTTATTCAACCAACGCGATTATGTCGAAACATTCATTAAGAGTAAGGAGAAAGATGATATTGTGTTTTGGATTTCGAATACTAAGTATCGATTGTTGAAGCCAGTGTTCATACAGAGACTTAAAAAACAACACCCAACGATATCATTTACAAAATCTTTAACCTTGAAGTCAACATTATTTGGTCCTTATATTCGAACCAACAAGCTTGAAATCAAAATGAGATGTATTATCAACCTATCCCTTCAAGAAACAAATCGTAACTAAAGCCTTTTTTTCATTTAGGTAATGTTGATGAATGGTTGATAGATGTCGTTCTATACTTTCTTTGGTCCAACGAATTAGTTTTTCAACCATTAACAATCGGAGATAAAGTTCAACTACTTTATCTGTTGGATTATTTCGGCATTGACATAAATAAATACTCAATTACATCAGATTCAATGGAAAGATTCAGGTCAAATTTAATAACTTTATCAAGGATAAATGAGTCAGTTAACGCCCAATTATCTCACTTGATTTCAATATAAAACCAACAACTAACATGTACAGTTTATTAATCAATCATGTCTCGATCACTCTACTTTGTTAAAATGTTTCCTGATGTTCCTGTTCCATTTAAAGCTACACCAAGGTCTGTTGGATTTGATGTATCATCTTATGAAGATACCATTGTTCCTGCTCGAGGTCAAGTTATTATTAAAACTGGGTTAAAAGTGACTCCACCTAAAGGGACGTATATACGTTTAGCTTCAAGGTCTAGTTTGGCCTCAGAAGGAATAACAGTTCAAGGTGGAGTTATCGATCCTGACTATACTGGGGAAGTTAAGGTAATTCTGTCTAACAATACAAATGAACAGTTTATCATCACAAAAGGAATGCGTATCGCTCAAATGATATGTGAAAAAGCTACATTTGCTGTTCTTTATCAGAAAGAAGAGGTGGAGACAATCACTACTCGATGTGATTGTGGGTTTGGCTCTTCAGGTCGATAATTGTATAAAAGGAAGGATAGAAAAGAGAACTTCATCATTCAGTTTTGATTCATCAGTGAAACAACATCAAAATGTATTCCAGCAACTCCAATGTTACAACTCAACAAAATTCTCCACCAGCTGAAAGACCAAGATCGACCCGTTTTGAGGATAATTTTCAACAACTCATGACCTGTGAAATCGCTCCTCTTACCTGGATCTCCGTAAACAAATCAAAATCAATCGATTCAACATTTGTTGATATACGGAAGAAACGAGAAAAGATGGTCAATGGTGTGAAGATGTTTATCCCTACAAAATCTGGACTCTTCTTACGTCTGGAAGAGTATGAAAAGCTGAAGGATCGATTAGTTTGTATTACTGAAGGTGAACAACGGAAGTTTGAGTTTACTGTAGCTCCAGGACGAACTGTATCCGGTCATCTGAGAGTTGATGGATGTTGGCATTTTTCGATCAAAACTGAGGTGAAAGAATCTGTTCTTACTCTTACTGGTTCTGAGATAAGTAAGATTGCGGCTTATTCAATTCCAAACAATGTCTTCGCTGCAATGGGGGAAATCATCTGGGGGTGAATTGAAACTTGATATATACATTAATCTTTTTATCTTTAACATTAACTACTAACATTAACTATATTTTATCCTTATTTACTTTGTATCCGTTAAGATTTAATTTTAATAAAAAAAAATGAGCTCAAACGATGCTTTATTTAACTTATTTCGTGACTATAAAAAGAAACCAAGGAAGAATAATTACATGAATGATGGCTGTTTATTTCATTACTCTAGTACTTATTATACTCCTTCTGTTACTTGTTTTAAGAATATATCTATTAGATAGCTTAGAATATGATGGTATCAGGATATAGATACGCCTATTGACATGATTAAAACCTTATATAAATCGAATACAAAATCTGTTTACAATTCAGAGTGTAACATGATCAAGTGTAGCAAGTGTCAGGAAAGCTTTACCAAACATAAATCTTATCTTATACATAGAAGAGATTGTAGTTTCAAGTCTGTTAAATGTTCAACATGTGATAAAATTTTCAATAAAAATAGTCTATTCGTAGACCATCTACTACTCTGCAAAAATTTCAACAGAAATTTATCAACTTTAACCAGTGATTTCACCTACACCCTACACAAGAAAGCTTTCAAAATGTTTTGCCATCTATGTCAAAACAGGAAAATGGTCATCATTGGAAAGTTTATTTACAAATGAGCGTCAAAATATTGAAAATTTATTAGATTCAATTCTAAAAACAATAGGGTCACATAAAGTACAAGTCTGTGTTTTACTAAGATTTGTTAAACAAAAAATGGATGGTGATATTGATACAACTGAGATTTACAAAGTGACTCAAATGAGACCATTTACTCATATATCACAGTTCGATGAAACGATGTCAGCCTGGGCTCAACATCTCGATTCAGTTGTTGATCAATTTACTCAAAGAGGAAGTGGCTGGGTACTTAAATCGATAAGTACAATCGAAATAAGAATATGTAAATTGAAAGAAAATAGTGGTGGATGTTCATCAGTTAAATTACCACCAATGCTCTTGAAAAAGAAAAGTTTAATTTCACCAAACTGTCAAACCCATTGTTTTAAATGGGCTGTTTTAATATCCTTACATCCTCAGGTTAAGGATAGAAAAAGAGTATCAAAGTATAGGAACCTGACTAGTCTCTACGACTTTACTGGTATTGATCCGATTACACCGTTCTCCCAAATCGATAAATTCGAAAGGAGAAACAAGATTTCAATCAACATTTATACACTGACAATGGATAAACATCGAAAGATTGTTCCATTGAGGGTCAATAAAAACCCTTCAAGTAAACATGTAAACTTGTTTTTATATAATGACCATTATTACTGTATAAACAACTTCAATGCTTTTGTACGAAACAACAGGGCTTGGGAAAGGTTTTACTGTCCTTATTGTTTATCAGGATTCAGACAAGAGTATTTGTTATCGAACCATCAAACCTACTGTAAAGATGTCACCGCTCAACGTATATTACTACCAGGTCAAGGAAAAGTACCAAAGATTTGTGAGTTTTATCGTTTAGATAAAACAATAGCATATCCTTATGTTGTTTACGCTGATTTTGAGGCCCTGGTTGTTAAATCAGATAAAACTTTAGGTAATAATACCTTTGAATATCAAAAACACCAAGCTTGTTCATTTGGACTCGTGGCAGTTGATTGGAATAATCAAATTTTATCAAAGAAATTTTATCGAGGGAAAAAGCTGCTGAAAACTTATTGAAACTTTATTGGAGCTACAGATGTTCTTAAGAGAACACTTGGAAAGCAATAGTAAACCAGCAATACTTTCAATGAGGAACGTGAAGCATTTGAACAAGCTTTAGAGTGTTATGTATGTAATGAGCCTTTAGTTAATGATAAGGTTTTAGATCATTGCCATTTAACTGGATCATATCGAGGCCAGCTCATAACTCATGTAATCTTAAACTTAGACTACCACATAAACTACCTATTATTTTTCATAATCTCAAAGGTTACGATGCTCACCTTATAATCAGTGGGTTAAGATCAAATTTAGTTCAGAACATAGCCGTCATCCCTCAAAATACAGAAAAGTACATTGCTTTCTTTATGGATGACTTTATCTTTCTAGATAGTTTAGCTTTTCTCCTTTCAAGTTTAGATACATTGGCTAATAACTTGTCTACTGAATCTAAATCAACATACTTGTTACAAATGTTCAAAGAAGATGATCTACCCACATACTTGGAAAAGGATCTCTACCTTATGAGTACATGGACTCTTGGGATAGATTCAATGAGCGCGCGCTACCACCAATCGAATGTTTCTACTCTCATCTCACGAAAAAATCAATCGATCAACAATCTTATGATCGATTGATTGATATGTGGAATCATTTTGGTTGTGAAACACTGGGTGAATTTCATGATATTTATTTGAAAATTGATGTGCTACTTTTGACTTGTATCTTTCAAAATTTCAGAGCTACAAGTATTAATCAGTTTGGCTTGGACCCATGTCATTACTTTTCAACACCAGGTTTAACATGGGACGCCGCTCTCAAGTCAACGAAAAATAAGTTGGATCTTCTCACTGATATTGATATGATTTTAATGATTGAAAAAGGTATCAGGGGTGGTATCTCTTGTGCAATGAAGAGACACGTCATTGCTAATAACCGAAACTCTGAGAATTATGATGAAACAAAACCCTCATCATACATCACATATTTGGATGTTAACAACTTGTATGGATTTGCACTGAACGATGTCCTTCCCATGAAGAACTTTTCTTGGGTGTCACCAGATTTGTTTGATTCTACAATTGAGACGATAAGAAATGGTAATTTGGATGGTGATACTGGTTATATTTTAGAAGTAGACTTGTTATATCCAAGTGAATTACATGACTATCATAATGACTATCCTTTAGCGCCTGAAAGATTATCAGTTAAAATTGAATGGATGAGTAAGTATCAAAAGGATTTGGTTGCTAAAATAGAAAGTCAAGGATTAAAACGTACTGAAACTGAAAAGCTCATCCCAAATTTGTTTGATAAACATCATTACGTCGTTCACGGTCGAAATTTACGTTTCTATCTTGACAAAGGATTAAAATTGAATAAAATCCATAGAATAATTAGTTTTCATCAATCAGCTTGGTTATCACCTTATATTCAAATGTGTACAAGTAACAGACAAAAAGCGGCAACTACCTTTGAAAAAGACTTTTGGAAACTCATGGTCAACTCATTGTATGGAAAAAGTATAGAAGATAAGAGGAAACATACTAAAGTCAAGGTGATACAGAATGGTAAACAAGCTCTTCAACAAATTCGTAAGCCAATGTTTGAACAGTTTTTCATCTTGGAAAATGATTTAGCCATTGTTAAATTACGAAAGTTTGAAGTCAAGCTCGATAAACCGATTTACTTGGGGTTCACTGTGTTGGAACTATCTAAGTTACACATGTATAAACTTCATTATGATTGTTTCCGGCCCAAATATGGTGAAAACTTATCACTTGTATATACCGACACTGACAGTTTCATATATCATATACAAACTCAAGACATTGTAGCTGATTTAAAAGAACTAGATTATATCATGGACTTTTCTGATTATCCAACATCACATATTCTCCATGATAATTCGAATAAGAAAAAACTCGGGTACCTTAAAGATGAGATGAATGGAGAAACCATTGATGAAGTTATTGCCCTGAAATCAAAACTTTATGCTATCAAATATGGAACTAGAAAAAAACTTACCGCCAAGGGAGTACAAAAGGCTGTGATTAAAAATGAAATCTCAATAGAAAACTACAGAGATTGTCTCTATGACAACACCATTTATCATCATATTAATCATAGATTACAATCTAAAAATCATCAAATTTCTTCTATAAGACTAAACAAAGTTTCATTATCACCAATGGATGATAAAAGATTTATACTTGACGATGGAGTATCTACACTAGCTCACGGACATTATAAAATTGTACAAAAATAGTTGTTTTAATAAATATTTTTTATTATAAATTCATTAATTTCTGAATTACATTTAATTAATGGTAAATCCTTGTTTTCAAAACAAGACTCTAGAAAGAGAATACAATACAATCCACATTTTATTGATAAATCTCCTTGGTAGATGTAATGGTTATATTTAAATCCATTGAATTTACAATTTCTTTCCAAAAAGGAAGTGATTAAATCCAATGGTCTATTACCAAATGAATCAAAATATAAACCTGGTCCATACTCTGGAATATAGATAGCTGTCCAGTGGGACCCAGTTTTCCAACTTGGATCAAGATTTATCACCATACCAAAAGGTTTAGCTAATATTTCAAAAGGTAATTTATCAAGAGGATAAACACCTTTGAACTGTGAGTACTTTTCAATCTCGAATCAATATCGATTGTAGTTAATGCCATCAATAGTCTGTAATTATATTCCGCGATGAATCGATTTGTAGTACGTTGTCATGAACACCAAAAACTATCATGTGTAGACCTGTGGTTAAAGCGTCAGTAAATTGAATATCTATTCGAGCGCTACCTCGTTTAATCAATGATAGAGCCCCAGATTCATTGGTAAGAGTACCGTCATCACTTAAATCAAAAACAAACAAAGGGTGGTTCTTTGCATAGTCTTTGTACTTGATATTAATTTTAGGTATTCCATTCTCTTGGTTCATTGACGGAACATGTTGTAGTATTCACGAACATAAATACTATTCTTGAAATCCGGTTTATAAGCAGAAGCTGGTATCTTTATTCCATTAACAACAAAAGCAATCTCTTTAATATTTCCGTGTTCAAATTTGAACGGATCAGTTTGTATCTCCGTTGAAAGACTTGTCAGATACAACCAATAATGACCCTTCGGGGTAGTTGACCATTATACACATTGTCAATGCTATTGGCAGCGAAGCCACTCACAAGGTGATATGATTTAACCTCATTACGCTGGAAATAGTATTTTACCATTGAGTTGGTCAAGTTTTTTTCAATTGTCATCTGAACGGGCATAAAAAGTTTCACTCGTCTTACGAAAAGTGAAAGCTGTTGAAATTTCAAATTGATTGGTCCTTGAGTGGAACAGGTCAATCCAAATGTATCTGGTGCCAATTTAAATCTTAATGTTATCGGTACACCATCGATCAAAAATTTTTCTTGTTGAAACATTGGGGCATGTATCGGAAGAATCAAATCAAAGTCCTTTTTAACACGCTCAACTCTTACATTTTCATCGTCATCAATCAGCTGACAAGCATCAATTGGTGACTCATGTTTGAAGAACAAGTCATCGAGATGTGATTGATAATGAAATAAACTATTACCTGGATTTAAATTGACACTACCAAGATAAACATCACATTGTTCAAACAATGAAGTAGCGTAGTTATTAACAGGAACAATTTTGTCACCATCTTTTATTGGATCTTTGTATTCAATTTTTAATTTAGCATGTAAATATGTAGCTGAAAGATCAGTATAGTGTTCAGAAGCGGGAACTACAAATTCAAATATTTTTGAATTGTCTAATGACCCAACTGGACGATACTCTACATCATACATTGTCTCGACGACCGTTTGTGTTGGAGGAACACTAAATAAATCTAGTTCAGCTATTGTTGCTGGTGTCGAGGAGTTGTGAATAAATTCCATCTTAATTATTGAAAATGTCTCGTTTAGTTGTCTTTCTCTTTTTGATTACGCTCTTGGGTGAGCGTTTCTTCACTTTTCGTAAAGTTACTTTTGTGACAGTTTTCTTTCTTTTATATAATCTTTTGTTTCCACTACCGGTTTGTGACTTTGTTTTTATCTTTTCTAAACCTTTTGTGGCCAAATCAGAAACACTGTCTTTGAAAGCTTTCTGAATCTGTGGATCTTGTACAACACGCTTACCAAGAGTAACACCTTTATCTAAGGCTTCTTTTCAATGTATTTCAAAATTGGCATGGCTAGTCTTGAGAAAAAACTTCCAAATCCATAACCTCTTTGATATCTAGGAGCACGTACAATTCTTATGTCATTGAACCCTGAACCACTTTGATTTGTGTAGTAGTGATTAAAATCACTATCTTTAGGACAATATGATTTACGGTACATGTTTAGATGACAAATAGTTGATATTTCTTCTTTATACAACTTTTGTCTTCTTTCTAAAATCTAAACTTAAAAACATTCTTCCACCAGATTCAAAGTACACCTGCTCTCCAGAGTCATGAGTAGCACTGATATTTCACCAATGTGGTTTTTTCGAACAGGGTAATATATTCGATGAGAGAACGTACAATATCCAGTATCTTTGTAGATACCACTTGTTAATGGTAAAGCACGTAACACAGGTGATTGAGTCCCACCTACTATATGATCTTGGATAATATCAGTATATAGATACATTAGAAATATCGCGTCATTTTCTTGGCTTCAGGTTAAATTTTCTGTAGGATTAAGAAAATCCTCGATTTATGAAAGTTGAGGTCTGAATCTTGGACATGATTCATTCCTAAATATTTTTTAACCTCTGTAGTGAAAAATGGAGCATAAATTAGACCGCTGTAAACCCACTGATATGGAGCTTTACCAAAAGCAAACTGCTTTGCTTTCGTATAATTACCATCAAGCCAAGTGTCAAGTAAAACTGTGTCTTTGTGTTCTGGGAGCACTTTTTCAATTATATGTGTTGATGATTCATTGTCAAAAATCATCCCCAAGCTCAATTGATTTTCACTTATTTCAAGATTCTGATTTATGACATCATTTCGGGGGGCAAAGGAAGGAGGTTTGAATGATTCTTTAAAACTCTGATTTAACTTTTCAAACACTTTTGGGGCTCTGATACAAAAAACGAATCGTTTGTTCAGGAGAAGCATCAACCCATTCAGCATCCTGGAATAGGATTTGACGTCCTGTAGTCTGCTTGTAAAAGTATTTGGATTTTATTTTATATTTTATTTCAGCTTCTCCAGAGAACTTGAGAGGAAAATAAATTTCGGTTAATGCAACTTCCCAATCACCAGATAACTCTAAAGGAGGGTCAATTCGGTTTTGAAAAGAAGAAATTGTGTTGTTGGGATATATGTCCATTGACCCATTTGAAACTAAGTCAATTGTGAATGATGATTGTTCTGTCATTTCTTTTCAGATAAATTGTCCAGATCCCAGACCCAACTATCGAATTTCTTTGGCCATCCTTCCCATCTCACAAAGTACTTATATAATCTTTTTTCTCTATCGTAATCTTTTTTCAAGACCTTTGATACTCTAAATCTTGCATTAGGGTCAAATGAAACTTTTTGAAGCTCTTCTGGATAGAAAATTGATGATATTTTCTCTCCAGCTAGATCTTCAAGTTTATATACGAACTTGGTAGGTGTTTCTTTAACAGATTTCACTTTAAATACTTCATCTGTCCATCGTTGTGTTGTTCCTTTATCAGATGTCTCATTTAGAGGAATTTTAACTATATCGTTTACACTGAAACCTCTTTTTCTGTTCTTATCTGATTTCAATGATGATTGGATAGTTGTGACAATCGATTGTTGATTTTCTGTGTTGACAGAGCTAGGCGATGTTTTTATTGTTCTATGATATGAATCGTTGTAATTATCAACAATCAACTCTAAGTCATCAATATATCGCTGTGTATGCTTCCAATAAATATAACGATATATTCGTGAACGTAAAGTCCTAATCAATCTTTCAACAATAGCACACTTAACTGAATTGTCAGTCGTTGTAAAGTAATGGACTCCATTTGTTAAACAGAACTGGGTCAAAAATTTGTTTTTAAATTCTTTTCCTTGATCTGTCTGTAATTTTTCAGGTTTTCTTCCTTTTGAAAAAATTTTATTGAATGCTGTTATAATTGAATTGGCTGATTTATTGACCACAGGTTCTGTCCAAGCGTATCTACTAAGGACATCGATAACTACAAGAATGTATCTTTTACCATCATTCTCCGAACTCCAATAAGACATGTCCATTAAATCAGCTTGCCATTGCTCATCGATTCTATCAACCAAGATAGGTAATCGTAAAAACCTTTGTTTCTTGGCTCGAAAATTAGTGTATGTATCTTGACCTTTCAACCACTCCTTTACATCTTGAAGTTGTATACTTGAATCGATTTGTTTAGCAACATTGAACAATCTATCAGCTCCACCGAAACTTCCTTTACTCTTGATATCATAGTAAACACTTTTTAAAAGATTTTGATATCGCTCCATTTAATGTTAGTTGAAGGAACCGGTTGAGATTTTTCCTTTTTTATTGACTTTCTTATGACCTTATTCTTTTTAAAGTTTTTAATTGCTTTGGATAATGAATCTTGATAATCTTTCAATACAGTTTTATCAATACTTGATTGTTTTTCTTGTTCAGCTGGTTCCGAGTGGTCTACTTTTATTTCATTGTTTCTAAGAATTTGATATTCCTTCTCTGGTATCAAAACCATTTTATTAAGTACATTCATTACATGTATCTATCTGCCAGTTTACCACCGAGATAAGATAGTGCTGGCCAAAGTAAAGCAGGAAGAAAAGCTCCTCCTGATTGAATAATAATTTCTTTTCTCTCTTTCAAAGGAACACCAGATCTCTTGGAAAGTCTTCTCAATTGTTTTTTGTAGGGTAAAATCTTTATCTTCTGTTGTTGATCTATTGGAATATTCCTTTAATGTATTTTACTTATCTCTGATATTGAATAATAGATACACGACTTTGCCTTTTTTAAAATAATATTTCTCTCTTTCTTTGTCTTGGCGTTAGCAAGTTTTCTTAATGTAGGAAGGCACTTTTTAACGCCTTCGATAGACATATTGATTGATTGATAATTGTTAATTTCTTTTATATAAATTCAAAGAGAATAAGCTATCATTGGATCATCATTCTCATTGAAAATATTGCTGATCAATCTTACTTTATCATCTGTGTCAGGTTTCAGATCAATGAATAAGTATGAATAAGGTTTAATTGTAGCGTTTTCAAAAATGTTTTGGAATTTTTTAATCTTTGATGGAAACATCTGCCTAGCAATGTTTGTTATCATAGATTTATCTCTTGGGTTCTTGTAACAAACAACATACTGACTATTTAAGCTTATGTTCCGACTTTCCTTCCCTCTAACAAAAAAGTTTTGGGTTATGAGTATTACAGAGATATTTCTATGGTGTGAACCTCTTGTAAATAAATTACTTATCAATGGTTGGTTACTGGCTTCTAACATTAAGTCATCTATCACTATCCATTCAGGTTCATCCCCTCCGGCATTAGATAGATGTTCTTCTGATAGTCCCTCTATAAACTTTACATTAGGCATAGAATTGAACATTTTCTGATATTCACCATAGAAATATGTTATTTTCTTTGGTGCTGGATCACATATTTTACCAGCTGCATTTATCATATTACGTACAAAATAAGTTTTACCAGAGCCAGTTGGCTGATATGTACATTGTGAAATGTTTTAAATAAATTGAATAAGACATGGTGATGATTTTCAAGATTAGTTTATTTTTTTATATTAAATTATCATGATACAATTGAGGAAGGAGCTGAGCTTGAAGCACCATTATCTGAACTCTTGCCCGATCGAAACCTTGGAGTTGGAAGAAGATAACCAAGTGATGATCCAAGTAAAGCTGTCCATAACGGTAGATTTCCGGTTTTTAAGACAATGTTAACAATAGCTGTTATCAACATTGATATCAATACAACTAGTTGTACAGTGAAAAGAACTTTTTTACACCAAATTCTGTAGGTTTCGTTTGTATCCATGGTTTTTGAATAACTAGGTTATTTATAGCCCTGTCTCTCTTTATATTGATTCTGCTAAAGATTTAAACTTTTCAAAATATTTTGAAACATCATTATAATCTTTGATACCGGTTACTGTTATCCTTCCTGTTTTAAAAACGATAAAAATAACCTTGGTATCGTCCACTTTGATATGTGTTCCTGGAAATAACTCTGGCTCGTATGAGTACTTTGGAAACCTTTTGAGTATTGAATAATCAAAATCACTTGATAACCTTGAGTGAGCCACGATGTTGACAACTTTGAAATTAATGTAATCAATTTTTGATGGATAATTGATACAAAAACGATTTATTAAATTGAAAGAGATTACACAGTTTTTAATTCCAGTTACAATAATTTTACCAGAATCAAAAATTAATAAACACCCATCAACATACTTTAATATTCCCCCGGAGAATCTCCTGGGGTACCTTATTGATGGGTAATACATTTTTATTATACTTCGAGAAAGATTAGAGTTCAAAGTAAATGACATGACAACATTATTAACTGTAATGTTTTCACAAAGAGTCATCCTCGTTAAATGAAAGATTAATCAGTAAAGCTAACCTTAATACTTTTCTGATTAGACGATCACATATCGGACATTTCGAGAGCTTGACAGTACAATTTGTACATGCTACTGCATGTTCACATGGATAGAAGATACATCCAACCTCCATCTCTTTACAAACTTTACAGTTGTATCGATTAATTTCGGTTCTTGATAGTTCAGCTAATGGTAACTCTCCTTTAAGATCATAGCATGTCTTAGCCAAGAACATTGTACCACATTTTACGTATAGATAGTCACATTTGGAGTTATACTTCAAGTGCTCGATTAATGGATCGTCATCTGGCTGCCATTCATGTACGTTGAGGCCACAATGGAAACAAGATACTAAATCTCTTACACCCCTGTAGAAAAATCCGGCATCTACCAACTTTTTTATATCCAATTCTGGTTTAGGCCAATTGACATATGATTCCATTCGTTCCTGTGGAGTCCTATACTTTTCAGAGTAACAGGTTTGATAACCAATACTTTCATAATAATCGATGGTATATTGATCGAAATCAGCTTTAGCACCAAAACCACAAGCTTTACAAGATTCCATTTTGAAACTGAATGTTGATCGAAGTTTGAACACTCTTTTTATACTAATTGCTCACTCGGTTAGTAGGTCAAATTCAGATATAAATAGTTTTAATTGGAAATCAATAATCAATAATTATTCATAGATTTGACAATAATTGATCTAATTAAAATGTCTAAAATGTTTGTCACATGGGGTGAATGACTGTGTCATTTTGTGTACTTTCACTACTACTTTGGTTAATACTTTTCACCGATTTTCTTTCAACACAAAACTCTCTCTTTCTCTCTTGGTGATTTATGTTGAGTAAAGATTTTTGCTTGACAGAACTTTTTCATTCCAAAATCTCTGGGAATTTCTTTTCCCTGTTCCATCCAATCCTGATTTTATCTCCCCTGTAAATATCATGCTTCTTGTCAACAACAACAATGCAAAATTAAAGTAAATGGTTATATTTATATTCAATTCAAAGGTAAAATCCAGAAAAAAAGGTAAAACTTTTGTTCTGACAGGTTAAAGTTGAGAAACTTTTTCTCTTCCCTTTTTCATTTCAACTCAATCGAACCTTGAATTTTCATGATTTAAATTAAATTCATGGTCTACCTCAGGTAACTGAAACTTTTCTCATCTTAAAACACATATATCGATATACCATTGATTACCAACTGAACTTTTTTTCTCATCATCATCCAATTGATTTAGTGATTGAAATTTATTGTTTAGATAAACCTGAATCTCTCTCATGTTTGTTTTCTCATCCAGTTGATTATTTGATTACATATAATAAAGATCAATAAATTGAAAAGTCAACAATCAAAATAATAAAAAAATGATTTATCAAAACACCAAGAGATGAACAACTCAACTGATAAACCTTGAAATGAAACTTTTGTTTTTACTTGAAGGATACAAGAAGAAGGCGATTACCATGATATATATTATATCTAAGTATTTGTATCTGATTTACTTATTGAATTGATTGTTGAAATTCAATCTCATATAATTTTGATGAAAGGTTAACACACTGATCAAGTTAAGTTTCTCATTATAAAAACAATTAGACCTTCAATTGATTTTTGTGTCTTCATTGCTTTGAATAAGATGTATAGTTTTTAAGGTCAAATATTCAGTAATCTCTTAGTAATGATTCAGTTTTCCGGTTTTCCTTGATGATCATGGTAAGTGAAAATGAATCCCATATGGAAATGGGATTTCAAATTAATGTTGCAAACTTTTGAGGTTCTTATTCTTACTTTTTTCAACTAAATCTAGTAAAGTGATGAGCCTACATTAAAATGATTTATGGATAACGTTATCATGAAATCTTCGAGCACTTTTAGAGTCAATTTTGTGATGATAAATCACAATTTGATGGTAGAGATGATAATTCATTGTAGACTAATCAAATATGATATTGATAATGATCAAGTAAAAGGGAAACAAATTTTGATGAACTCTGAAATTTAACACATCTTTGCATAGTGAAGGAAAGGGTTAAATTTTCATGTGTTAACAAGTTATTATTTAGCTGTTGAGGTCAAAAAATTCAATTCATTAAATCAGAAATTTTAGATCAACATTAGTATTAAGATATAATATTAAATTAAAAAACCGGTGAAAATCTTTCATTCAATAAATTCATCTTAGCCTTTATAGCTACACTTTTATAACTCTAAAAACTGTACACAAGTATTACAAATCAGCGTTCGTACGAAATAACTTTCAAATGACCTTGAAAACGCTCTTTCACGAATGACCTAAATGACCTTGATCTTCGTATACGACTAATGAGTAAAAACTGCTGAATAGTCCAGCACATCTTAATTGCTTATATTTAGCGAAATCGTAGATCAATTTCTGAATCTTTTGACTGAACTCTTACTACTTGCTGAACAAATCTAAAACCTAGCAGTTGCTGATATTGGTGAAAATCCATCAAAATATTATTACAAGTACTTAATTGTGGAAATGAAAAAACAGGCTCCATAGTGTAAGTCACTAAGGTAAGATTTGTATTGCTAGAAATTTTTCGTTATGATAATTATTAAATTTATAATAATTTATATACGTTGATAGTTTTCTCTTTTTAAATAGTGAAATAAACGTTAATGAAACTGATTGGAATAGAAATGCAATGATGTTGATCGAGTTTTCTGTAAAGTTATAATCATCACACCAATTAATCATAACGATCATCCCATATAACAAGCGATAAAAAATAATAACGCGAAAATACGAATAAAAATTGCCTAATTTTTGCGAACTTTGTGAAATTGTCTCTTTGTACTTGGTAACATTTTCCTAATTGAAAAGTGCAAATTACTCAACAAATTGAGTGAAGTTCAATTTATCAGGTCACCTTGGTGATCGAAGACATTTCATTTCTTTCTTATCTCTTCTTATAAATGTTTAAATAGAAAGGCACAATTCTAAAAGATGAACTCTGGTAATAATGAAAATGGTAATAATTTTGTTTAGCATTATAATATCTTGAAGATTAGTAATAAATTTTTTATTTTACGTTTCAGAAAAAAACGCATTCGTCGAATAAGCTAACAACAATCAGGCTCAATCGACAATAACATTGAAAGAGTTAATCAAGAGTTAATTCAATAGAAATCAGTAAGAAAATAATAATGAAATCGTTAATAGTAACACGAGAAAATAGAAGTATGAATCGAAAAAGTTTAAGTTCAAATATTAGAAAGACTCAGTAGTCCCATGAGGAAATGGAATTGATATATAAGTGTTGAAAGTATTTAACAAGTTTTGGTGATGAAAGAATCAGCAGAGCTATTGAAACTTTTTTCTATCGTCGCGAAAAGAATAGAGAAAAATAAACTATTTTTCTGTGATACAGATTGAGGACAAAGCTATTATATAATAACAGAATGATCTTTTGCTACGAAGAGAAAATAAAACTCACCGATATCGAAATGAATTGTGTGTACTTTCTGTAGAATCGAAGATTATATTAATAAACAGGGAGGGGAAATTGGAATTGTTCAGTAAGTATGGTTAAATAACATTTATATAAATAAATAAGTATGGAACTTTATTACTACACTTTTAATCAATTCGTTAAAATTTACGTTTACATCCTTAATCTCTATTGTAAGAATTTGACCTTTTACAAACATCTAGTAATACTTTCTTGATGGCCAAATCGTAGTGACCAATACCATGGATCAAATCATTAATTAGTCGCGTACACTTTATAGTATCAACCTTATGTGCACCATTACAATTAGTACATTTCTTAGTTCCCCTTAGACAGTTTTGAGAATGGCGCTGATACCCACAACGAGTACAAAGTAGTAATCTTATACAGTCATGTCCTATCTTTGCCCTCTTGTGACAATAGCCACAATTTATAAGTCCAGTGTAAGTAAAAACCGGAACTCCCTGGTATCCATGGTTAGATGAACCACCTAAAAGTTAGAAACAAATAAAATAATATCAATATAACTAATCAAAAGACATTAATTTATATACATTAAAAAACATTTATAACTTAAACATAAAGCATTTATAAACTAACATATCACCACCAACAAATAATTAAACAATAAGATAAATAAACTTACCAGAGGCTATTATAGCAGATACGAATTCTGTTTTAACAGAAAAAATCAAAATTGTACCATTTACTCCACTGTACTCCTCACCAAGATAATTAAAGGAACCAAAACGAAGATTCATCAGTAAACAGATATTTTTTACGAAAGCTTCATTCGAACAAGTTATACCAATAGGTCGATAAACAAAAAACCTCGGGTCCATTAACTCAACTGGTTCAATTCTACTGATGAAATTCTTGGTATTAATTGTCTCCTCAAAATCCTGGATAACTTGAGGAACGACTGGAACAATAACATGGTCCTCCATAATTTGGGCATAATCAAAATTACTAATGTAAATGTTGATATCATTGTCGTTTTTCAACTGGTTTAAAAGGTTAGTAAGCGAATTTCGAGAAACACAAATTGGATAAATTTTCTGATAGCAAATTGAAGGTTTAAATGATATATCAAAAACCTTGTTAGAAAAAAGATACATTTTTGTAACAAAACCACAAAATAATTAAAATTAATTAAAATAAAAAGAAAATTGATTAAAGTTGATAAAAGAAGAAAAAGAAAATTGAAAAACTCTTATCACTCAAGATACAACACAAACTGCTATTTAATTTTTGAAAACTTGAACTGACAACTGAATTGATAGATGAAAATGGTAATAATTTTGTTTAGCATTATAATATCTTGAAGATTAGTAATAAATTTTTTTATTTTACGTTTCAGAAAAAAACGCATTCGTCGAATAAGCTAACAACAATCAGGCTCAATCGACAATAACATTGAAAGAGTTAATCAAGAGTTAATTCAATAGAAATCAGTAAGAAAATAATAATGAAATCGTTAATAGTAACACGAGAAAATAGAAGTATGAATCGAAAAAGTTTAAGTTCAAATATTAGAAAGACTCAGTAGTCCCATGAGGAAATGGAATTGATATATAAGTGTTGAAAGTATTTAACAAGTTTTGGTGATGAAAGAATCAGCAGAGCTATTGAAACTTTTTTCTATCGTCGCGAAAAGAATAGAGAAAAATAAACTATTTTTCTGTGATACAGATTGAGGACAAAGCTATTATATAATAACAGAATGATCTTTTGCTACGAAGAGAAAATAAAACTCACCGATATCGAAATGAATTGTGTGTACTTTCTGTAGAATCGAAGATTATATTAATAAACAGGGAGGGGAAATTGGAATTGTTCAGTGTTAACTTTTCTCTCCCTTCAACTCATTATTATCCACATAATTGTCAGAACGACGATAATGTACACCCAAAAACAAATAGAAAATAGAGATAAATTGATTTTCGGATTTGTGTTTACAATAGAATTGAATTGTAATTGCATGTCAATCGAAATCGAAAAAATATCAAATCAGATAACTAATAATAAAAATATTTCTCTTCATTTTTTTTTATATTTTCATTTCTCTATTGAAAAATATGATTGAACTTTTATATTGGAAAAGTAAACTAAAAGTTAACTATTTCGTGACTTTCAACATAATTCTGATCCCTCTCATGGAATCAATTGCAATGATGGAGAAATTTTATTTTAACATTATTATCATGGGGAAATTAGTTGATAGTTTTTTTCTTGTTCATTCCTCATCTTCATCATCATCATGAACATGATTACACTGATTTAGTCTTTTAAGTAATTCTAATAATTGTTATCATCACAATCAAACTCAAACATTAGTTTGAAACTTTTATAATCATTATTATTATTACATCATCATTATAACTGTTACAACACTTATGTTACTTTGGACATGATCATTATCCCTCATCATTTTGTACAATAAACTGAACAGTTAATAAAGATTAAGGTAATAATATAATTTTTATTGGATTAGGATGGGTAACCTCATTGAGGAAGCAATGGAATGGGAAAAGAAAAGGTAAAATTATATAATACTAATCGTTTTACTGTAATAGATTAAAGTTGAGGTAAAAAATAATTATCAGAACATGAGGTTATATCTGATAATGAGAATGATAATAATAATAGTAACTCTCATCGGAATGATAATCTTTGGGTGGAGATATCAAATTAATATCATCAAGGTAACAAATGTTATCAGGGTAAAGGTAAAAAAAAGAGACAAAATTCAATTGATGAATATTAATACATGTATTGGAATAATAATAACGTTATTAGAATTGTTGAAAATGTTGATATGATAATAAATTGATTCTCGATTGAATAATTAATTAATGTGCTTAATTGATTGGAGATATTCTCGTTTAATATAATTATCATCTTCTTAATCTAATCTAAGATTGAGGAATTGAATAGATGTGAGATAATGCTGACGATAATTTATCCTCATGTTGTCATTCATTTCACTAGATTGTTGATAATTAACTTGATAATTCTAGTTAATCTTTTCATGATTATCGATGTAATTTCTGTGCTAGATTTTGTTTTAATTAATGATTAACATAATAACCAGAGAAATGAATAAAAGTTTCATCATGATAACATCAAGTCAACTGAAACTCTTTGCTATTTTTTTTTCAACAACAGTTAAACATTAATTATCATCATTAAGATTAATCTTAACTTCATTTTCATGAATAATTGTCTCTCAAAGGAATTGATTGAATAATTAGTTGGTTAAATATTTTTTATCGTGATAAAATTAAAGGGTTACGAGTTATATATAATTTGAAGGATTGGGTTAAACATAAATCATCATCTTCACCATCTTCATCATCTTTATCATACTCATGTTCTGAATAATTATCATAATATTATCACGATGAATTCATTGATACATTTGATTTTCATTTATTCACCATCATGTTGTATCTTCTTCTTCATGAGAATCTTTTGTTATTCTATTCGTTAGATGGTTATATCAATTTTTTCGATTTCTGCGCATTCCCATTGAGAACCTGATAACACAGGGTGAGTTCAGGGAGAGAATCTCAAGATCAACCTGTGGACTTGTATTCACTGTTAACTCGACCTTTCTCATGAACAGAACAACAATCAATCGGTAGTAGAGAGAAAAAAACTAACAGTTTAAGTTGAAACCGAGAATTGAGTCTATGTGATTTTGTGATTTACTTTTCTCTTTTCTATCTCAGCAAATGAATAGTTTTCACTTTACTCGGCAAATTATCATGAACGAAATTTCTTGACATTTTTTTACGATAACAATTTGAACATTGTTATAACTTCGAACCCTTTCAACTTTTTTCTTCTTCTTATTCATGAGAAAAGTTTTTCTTGTGATTATGTTCATCTTACAATCTCAACATTGTTTGGATTCTTGTGTCTCAGATTGTTTCATTTACCATGATGGTGATTTTTCAATGTCCGTGACTTTTGGTTAACGTTTTATGTTCATTCCCTCAAGAGATAACCGTTGTCACCATATTCTTGATTTTATCCTTGAATGAGTTTCGATATATACTTTTGATAATAGAAAAAAAAAGTGAAACATTGTCAAAGAGAATCGAAAAGTCTAAAGGGAAAATCCTGTTAACCGTTATTTTCCTTTTTTTTCCTCTTGCTTTTCTCTTTCCATGTTTTGATATCTTAATCTTTTCCATCATCTTGTTTATCTCTCATCCATCTACCAAATTCTTCATTCGATTATTTTTTTTCTTCTTCTTCTACTCTACCTCTTTGTCGTTCTCGCCTTGCCAATGGAATTCTGTTCACAATGAAAAATTCTTCCAACATTGTGGTTCACCGAAACTCGGACAGTTTATTGGTCACTCGATACATCAACAATTCACAATTCCCTTTAAGCTCATCAGTTAATTTGACAACTGAACCAACAGAATCTTCTAGTTTACCCTCATCTTCATGGTTACACTCATTCATTCCTGATGGATATGTTCCCGAAGAGATTGAACCAAGAGATATGGTTACTCGAATCATCGGTGTAATAATCGGGTGTCTTATTATAGTTGGTACACTTTTCGGTAATATACTTGTCATCATGGTTGTTTATAAATATCGTCGCATGAAATCAGTAACCAATATACTACTTGCCAGGTAAGTTCAAAGTAAAGTTTTTCCCTCCAAGAGGAAAAAGAAACTTCAACATTCGATAGAACTTTTTTTTCCATCAACATGTAAACTTTTCCTTTTGCAACTTCCCTGTCAATCAATCTCACTCTTATTTCATCGAGAGTTGATTCATCAATTTGTTCATTTTAAAACTTGATAATATTCTGGTTACTTTGTAACATTTACCGTTATTATTTGGAAACTTTGTATTTTATCTGATGATTTTCACACACAGTTTTCATTTCCTTTTTCTCATCAACTTTTCATGATGGAAAAATAAAATTCCTAAATTCTGTTGAATCTTCCCTCATGTTCATCATCATCACTTTTACTTGATGATTTCCTTTTCCATCATTATCAATAGTTTGTCTTGTTGATGGAAAAGATAATAACAAAAAAAATTGGAAAAAAAATCTCATGGATAATGTTAAGACTCTTTGTTAATCTTCTTGGATGATGTTTAATCCTTTTCCTGATTAACCCTTTTTCATTTCATTGAGATTAATGGTTGACACATTTTTCCATCATTTGAATGAGAGGAAAAAAAATTGATATCAACATGAGAAAACTGTCATGAGAAATTTGTCATTTTTTTCCTCAATTTTTGACTCAACTCCAATTCCAGCTTATGCTGAATTTCAACCTTTTTTTTGTTGCTCTTCACTCTTGATTTCATCATCTATTCATACTGATTTTCTACCCTGATTTCAGAGAAAGTTCATTTTGTGGTTCTAAAATATTGTGTATATACATTTTATCCTCTCCTTGTATAAGTTAAACAGCAAGACAATCATCTTCATCCATTCATCTTCTTCATCTAGTGTATATATATTTCATTCAATTTTCAATGATGATGATATAGTTATTATTATTACTCCAAGTTTCAAGTCGATGGAAACTGAATCATTATTATTCACCAGATATCACAGAGAATACGGTTCATTGCCTATCATGTTAGTTTTTTTGTGTATCTGCCCTGAGTTAGGAATCTTCTCTTTCCTGAATAACTTGTATTTTCATCTTTGTCCCATTTTTTTATTCACTATTACCATGTAAACCTTTTTATCAAAAAACATCCCTGCTGATGATGGTTCATGATCATCAGGATCATGATCATAATCATCCTTGTGTATGTGTGTTAGTCATAACTAATAACAGGGCGAAAAAAAGTCTCATGGTAATGAAAAAGATGCTAAAGGGTATTAATACATTTTCTCTTGCTTTTGTTTCTTTTTTTCTCCAAATTTACACCCAATCCAAAAGCTGAATGCTCATGGAAATGAATTTTTCTTTCAATGTTTTCAACATTTTGCATATGATTTGTTGTTCCACCATCCAAAGAGTAACAGAATTGAACAGAAATTTCTTTCCCTTCTACTATTAGTTACCATCATTAGCATTTTCACCAAGCGACGCATGATAACATTTAATGGCAATGAAATTCTAGTTTCATCTATTAATGTTCATAGAATCATTTAATCTGTAATCATTAGATTGATGTTCAATATTTTCCTTTCCTCCTTCTCTATTAAATGTTCACTTGAAATTTACCATGAAAAATGAGAATCACTTTTATTCTGATCATTTCCGTCGTTCACAAGTTCCAAAGTCTCCAGCAAAGTTTTTCCATCTCAAGGCAATAGTTGTTCTCTCATTGCGATTGGAAAAAAAAGTTTCCAATTTTACTGAATATCAAAGGGAAATTCATAGATTTTCAATAAGAATTTAAATTGCTCTCAAGTATAATGATGATAATAAAAAAGTTTCCATAATATTTACAGTTATCAATTTAGGTACTTTACCCTTTTAAGAAAATGAATCAAATCTCATTATTAATCCAACTAATGAAAAAGTATGTCGACTTTGATAATATTATAAACGTTTAGCTCATTTTTCCTCATGTAACTTTTAAATTATCTCTCATTGAAATCCAAGGAAATTTGATTATTTTTTTACCGCGTTTTTTTCATTATTAAAATCTCAAGTTGAACAACAAAAGAAAGTTAATCATTTCTTTGCTTATTTCGCTTTTCTCCTTGATCACTTTACTTTTTCTTACTGATTTTCTGTTATCCTGAACATCATCATTATCACCACAATCTATTTCATGATAATCCTACATAATAGCGTCTATTGCTCTTGTTAATAAACTACAGAGTCAATGTAATAGCATAACAAGAAGAGAGAGGAAAAGTTGATTCTGATTTCATTTAGTTTACAATCTGAGTGTTACCTCATTATCAAGAATAACATTCATTTCTTTATCCCTGAGAGATTGAATTGGAAAAGCATCTTAACTTTAACTCCTCAGAGCAAAAGAAATAACTTTTACCAATATAATTGGTATTATCTGTTTTCTGGTAAAGATTTGATGAGAGATTTATTGGTCAATAGCCTGGAGTTGAGTGTAAATGGTACAATTAACTTTAATAACAATAAAAGTCACAATTAAGATGCTCATCGATTATCACAATCCAAATAGTACATTGAAACGGAAACTAAATGAACAAAAAAAAAATGTCATTACATTAAGAATGAGCAATAATCATACCCGGAACTGAGTTATAATAATAGTTAAAAATAATAATAATAATATCTAATGTCATCTTATTATTATCATGTGAAAGTATATATCTTGTCAAAAAGATTGAGATATAATGAATACCTCAATGAATACCCTGGAAAGGAAATATAATGATTATTAACATGTTTCTATTTCGTTTCTTCATGAGATGATTTAATCGTTAGATTAACACTTTCATGATACATTGACTTGATGTCAGATAGTTTTTCCATGATAATTTGATTTAAAAGATTAAATTATTTGTCTGATTTTTATATTTATATCAATATATCAAAAAGAAGAGGCTTGAAATGATTTCATGATAAGTGAGAATGGGAGAAACTTTTGATTATAATATACAAATGAATGAATATATTCAATGTTTACTTGGAATTTATCATTTTTCTTTTGTTTACTTTGATAAATTACTACAATAAAGGACATCAGGCATTTTTGACTGTTTTTAGCCTAAACTTTTTGAAGTGATTTTATTTGATTTTTGAGCTTATGAGTTAAAACAAATCAACACGTATTTTTTAATTTTTTGATCTGACTCGCGGATTTCGTAAAATTCACCAAAAACGGAAAAATGGTCTGAATTGTTTTGTGATCGAATTAATATACTTATATAGCTAATCTTGGTATCAAACGAAAGCTCTTGAGCTGTTCTTTAAGAAAAATATATATTTGCAATTTTTTTCCGAATGTGAGGCTCGTTAGACACAGAAAACAATGGTTTTTTCATTCCGACTTGAATAGCATCTTTGGACTACCCTGAGGACCAACTTTTCTGCACATATTCTGATAGATCTTGATCTGGTCTATAAGAAATTGAAATAAAAAAAGGTGCCGACTGGCGCCTTTTCGAAAAAATCGACAAAAACTAAGATTAGCGTTGTAAAGCGGTAAAGTGGCCTCGGCATACCCTGAGGACCAAGTTTTTAGTACGGTTCCATACAGAAGCAATGTAAGTCAATCCAAAAATCGAAAAAGTTTTTGACTTGGATTGCGCCTTTTCGAGATAATGGACCTGGCTCTAAATTGTCACATCTCGAGGCGCAGTCGAAGTCAAGCTTTCATTCCTGTTCGACAGAACAAAACTCAGCGAACAGCAATCGTTTCGAGGCGCTCAGTCGTACCTGACTGTTCTTATGAATCAGATCAAGAATCTGGCCTCGATATGTCAAGGTAATCAAAATGAAATCGATGGTTTTCTGTCTCTAACCTGTCGAAAAATACTGGTATTATTGTGAAGAACAGCTCAAGAGCTTTCGTTGATACTGAATTAATATAAGCTGGTCGATCACAAACAATCAGACCATTTTCCGTTTTTGGTGATACAAAATCACAATCAAAATAAAAAAATACGTGTTGATTGTTTAACTCATAAGCTCAAAAATCATTAAAACTGAAAAAATTTTCATACTTTAATTCTAAGGCAAAAAGGCCTGATGTCCTTTTATGGTTTCTTTTTCTGTTATTTTTTTCATATCAATCACTTCCTTTTGTTTCATTTGTTTACCATGAATTTTATTCAGATTCAACTGAACAGTCTAGTTGTGGAAAAAGTGGAAAAAGATGAGAATCGGAGTAGAAAGTAAATATCGAATTCGTAGCAATTCATAAAATAAGAAGAAGAGCAAGAAACAGAAAGAGAGAAAAAAAAAGTTCTAATATGATAAGAAACACGAATTTTATCAATGATTTTTTAATCTGTTACAAATCACCGAGAACATTTTCTAGGTTATTGGAATCATTTCGATTGTAAAATTTACTATTTGTTTCGTTTTTTTCTCTCTTTGCTTTTTCTTTCCTTATTTCTTACCGAATGATATATTATAGCATCATGATGAAAATTCGGATTCATTTATCATGTGAATGATGTCTAAAAATCAGATAAAACTCTCAACAGTCTGAAAATTAGTCTTAATAACAAGAACAATGGATCCATTGAAGCAAAGAAACTCAGTGAAAACTCATGATACTTTTTTTTTCTTCACTTTCTCTCTCATCATCTTCGTCCTCTTCTCATGTTGTTCAGTCTCATTCTTTTCATCATCTTTTCCACCGTCGACTTTTTTTACGATCTCAAGAAAAGGCTCATTTTCACATTCCATTTGAACTTCTCACTCCATCAATGGACAATTTTCACATAAAATGGTCAAAAGAAGAAGTTGAAACATTGTGTATGACAGTTCTAAAGACTATTAGTAGAAGATACAGAGAATTGTATGGAATTACGAAAAATTTAGTCTATTTAGATAATTCTCTTGAAAGAGTAGAAAGAATTTTCTCTTCATCAACCACATTCCTTTTTAATAGTAAAATGAATAAACCACAGGCATCGAAAAATAGAGAAAAAAAAATCTTCGATATACGAATATCCGGTTTTCTATTGATTGAATTGAACACTTCCGATTCC